GTTTCAACTTTAAAATCAAAATTCTTAATAAGTATTGGGCGGAATTATAAAATTTAAAGTCTGTTGTAAAGAGAATTGTAAGAGCTTTCAAAAGAAATATCACTCAACCCCCAATGCCATTTAAATATTTTGGGGTGATGCTTACCCTTGCTTGGGGGGTGAAAATGGCGGAGTCAAAAATACCAACAAAGAATGTCCCCCTTTAATCTAAAATCGACGGGTCTGAGCGTTTTCCTACAATATTGATGCAGTTCCTGAAAATGGCTCTGTTTCGTTTTCATTTGGCCACCCTGTATTTCAATTTAAAAGTTGGGTATAATGCTAAATCTGCAGCTAATGGTAGTGGATCAAAAAAAAGGGGAGGGGGTATTTAAAATTCTAGGTGTGGATAGGTTGCAAATAATAAACGTATAACTAAATACCAAAGTAGTACCAAATTTCAGCTCTTTCTGTTGTGAAATAAGGACGCTAGAAGGCATTTTTTAAAATCGCTATTTTCAGTTTTTTTCACAATATTTCAGGAACAGCGGCAGATATCTTTGATCTGTTTGGTTTATTTTAATGACCTTGAAAAGGCGCAACTTTTTTATAATTTGAGCCACCCTGTATATCTTATAATTTCCCAAATGCTAATGGTGAGCCATGGAAAACGGACCACCCTGTATTGTGTTCTTTGGCTTTTGTTAAATGCAGTTGTGTTAATTTTTCTGGAGGCCGACGATTTTTCCACAATCCCGTAACAACCCTATTATTTGAAATAAAACTATGAGAACTTATTTAAAACTGCGAGAACTGCCAGGAAAAGAAACAATTCAATTAAAACTTATGACAGTTGGGAGACCATCGAGCACTGAAATTTTCATTCGCAAGGTTATCCGATAATGCTCCCCGCAATTAGTTCCGAAACTATCTCGAACACACACTGCTGGAAAAAACCGTCGCAAATAATTGCAGATTACGGCGTGATTCAATTCTATCATGAATATTGGACATGTCGCTATCTCAGTAATGGCGCGCTCGGGACATCGCTCATCCTGTGGCACTTCACTAAACTGATAGTAGCGCTGTACGCTATCAATCATCAATATTAATTAAGGAAAAATGCGGAGCCTCAGTCATTTGTTCGGAGTGCCAACAGCTCATGAAATAAGCAAGAGGTCTAAACAGGTCCCAAGCAAGTAGTTTTTCAGGCAGAAGCCGCTCGGGAATTCGCTCTTTTTGCATTAAATATAACTTATTTTTACGCCTCTTTGTTCCAATATAACTTTTTTATAACGTTAATTGTTAATTAACTATATTTTAGAGACAATTAAAGAAAGGGTTAAACTTTTATTTTCAAAAAGTTTTACATCGATAGTTTATATAATAAACGCACTAGCGGCTGTAAAAACCAACGTTAATGAACGGCCTGCCGCGCGACGAGGAGCGCTGGGCGCTCGCATGCGCGTGAGTGCC